TTCCCAGAAGAACGACAGCCATTTTTTACTCCGCAATTCGAATTCGAGAATTATAGTTTTCAGGTGAATTACAACAATACAGTAGAAACTCTAACTACGAAAGGTTTTGGATACGAAAAATCCAACTAACGTTAGATTTTCTACTTTAGGTTAATTTAATAATGCAGTGCTTGAAGCAGCGATGTCCAATTCGAATTTAATATTGCGACCTTCGAATTTTGTTTTTCGTGTTTATGAGAATACCGAATATGGCGCACATATCCTGGCGCCGCCGCCCACGTTTTGATTTAAAACATTTAACAATTATTTCGTTTTTATCGTAATAAAAGGCCGTGTTAGGCGAGGCAATAAATTGCAGTCGACACCAAAGGAATTGAATTTAAAGTGCTTATAACACGTCGAGGATGTTTTTGATTGAAAAATGTTTACAAATATTATCGTATATTTTCATTTAGATAGTTTGTGCAGCCTCGTCAATGAATCAAAAAGCAAATTTGATCATTTTGAATCAAAATATTAAACTATACCTCACATTTAAATGTACTAATAGTCAATTTTAAAAAATGACAGTAAAATCGCATTTCCAGATGAATTACAACAACACAGCGCGGTCAATATTGGCCATATGACCTTTCCCTGAATAAAACACTCAGCGCAATGAAAAACGAGGAATTTTTTTGCTTCTTCGTACAACGTTGTTGTTCTGCGATGTGGCGTTGAGCGTGGGTTTGTTGGTGATTCTGATTTAACCTTAAACGTTTGATATGAGTAATTTCCATTTCGGGATGTTTTTAATGACTGTGATTTTGCCACAAATTAATATCGCAATTCAGTTACGTTTTATCTGCACCGCATACATGGAAAATACGAAATATATATTTCTGAAAGTTAAAACATGCAATAAAAATTCCAATGTGCATATTTTTGTCTAATTGGTTCCGTCCTGTGACGAGAAAATATATAATCATTTGTACCGATATTAAACATAAAAATTACTTATAGTTTTTAGGAGTCCATCGCAAATCACATAGAAATTTTACGTTTACGTAATGAAGAACTCTGAAACTGATTACCTGCTATAAGTCTTTCGGTTTAGTACATCATTCTTATTTAAGTACTGAAAAAAGAAAAATAGAGCGAATACTGCAACTTTTATTCCGTTTTCCGGATTTCACATTACTCATCATTTAAATTCTCAATGTTTAACATTTAGCGTCTCAAAACTGATAGCTAATTAATCCCGATCCGGATTTCCGTTCACAGATGATATTTGCATGGAGAATCCGCGAAGCGCTTACAACGCCTGTCTTAAGTTGCTTCCATTTGCAGTCAAATTTATTTGAATACTCAACAACATAACTGGAAGATTTCTTAAATTTTTATTTTTATAAGGAAATTTGCTCAAAGCAAGGCGGAGGGTACTCACTCAGAAATAAAGAAGAATGGTGTTTAAGTAAGATACGGCGACCACTAAGTGCCTAGACGCAGTACAATGAATGTATTTGTTTTAAATTATAAAAAAATTATTGTTATAAAATCAACCTTCCTAAACTCAAATATTAAAGAAAATATAATCGTCGAGATTTAATTTATGTCATGGTTCGTAAATGAGAATATTGGAATAAAAATTTAAAATCATTGATCATTCTAACATAATTTTCAAATTTCTAACGAAAAATTTTATCTAAGCCAGTGTTTCCCAACCCGAGTCCGCGGTCTCAAATGAGTCCGCGGATTGTTTGAATGAGTCCGCAACGAGCCAGATATTCACTGCGGACCGCAGACGTTTTTGCGAAATTTAACTATCAGCCAAGTTACGATTTATGATAGAATTTACATAAAATATAAAAAGGAAGTTTATTCACATAACATTAATCGAGTCAACAGCACAACAGCAGATTACAATGATCACAATTAAATTAATAATATTAAAGCAGGACGATAAAGCTGTATTTTCGATTTACTATAATATATTTTTTATAAGTACTAAATCAAGTTGTACTTTCTAGAAATTTATAGCAGTTAGTAGGATTTTTCTAACGGTGATAACAAATTCGCAAGATCGCAAAAAATATGTATCAAAACTAAATTTAATCGAGCAATATATTCTCACATTATTATGTTTGCAGATTGCCGTGGCATTTTAAAGAAATAATGCTTTCTCTTGACGTAAGTCGACGCAACCGCGGCTTACCACAACACAATTGAATTAATATATAAAGACATTTCAAATTCTGGTTGCTGTCATGAATTGAATATTGTGCGACAGAAATGCATTTATATTCAAAAAAAGTCGGCTTTTTTAACGAACGCCTAATTGCAACGAATTTTGAGTACAATTGCAATTGCAATTGCAACTCACTTTGAGTCCGCAAAGGTTTTCGCCGATGAGAAAATAGTCCGCGACCAAAAAAGGTTGGGAAACGCTGATCTAAGGTATACAAGTAAAAAATTGCTTTTCCTCCAACCTACAATCATGGGCACTACGTCACTGTCATACATGATAGGTGGTTTAGTTTAAGCAAACCTATATGTAGAACTAGAATCCGTAAACTCAAAATATAACGTAATACCAAAAAGACACGGTGATAGGACACAGTCATCCCTTAGCTAACACCATGATGTCATTTCCATCTTAACCTTGCAAACTGAAACTCAATAGAAAAGACGATTCAACATCATAATCACAAGCACGTCAGCATCGAACACAATAAGCAGTCTCTTTTTCACCCGACGGTGCTGACGGTACAGCGATATGACAGTAACACTGCACGGTACTCAATTCAGGCTGACTAATAAAATTCACTTCCGCCTTCACTATGACGTCACCAATTCAGCTGACAAAGCACACTACAATAAATTACGCCAACTTAAATGGTGTATAGCTTAAATATTTGAAACTAAATGCTCAAATTATTTTACCGAGTTCCGCTAAATGTACATGTTCAAAGTTTCAATAAAAATATCAAGATTTGAACCTAACATGAAAATGAAAAGTTGCAAAAAAATAATACGTGAAAAAATATTTCGTCTCGAAGAACGCACTCTCGCTTTAAAACAACAATAATCCCAACATAATACATCGTTCACAAACCTCCAAATTGAGTCACTTAACAGATATTATAAAATGATATCGAAATATATATAGTATTTGCATAAAAATGTTACTAATTTACTGATGTATCTAATATCCCGCCCTCAAAATCTCATTATTACGTCGCATTTTTATTTAAATCATCTGATTTATGAAATTAATCAATCGCTACATTGACGCTGAATAAAGTATTGCTAGCTTTTTTTCGATAAGCTTCGACACAGTGGGCTTATGGATCGTTTCGAAGAATTCCTTTTGTTCCTTAACTCCGAGTTCATCATATTTTAAACACGAAAATTATGACACATGTCAGGTTATTGCGCTGTTCGAAATATCTGCTTTATTTTCTTTTTGTTTATATTTATGTTGAAAATTTTGATTCCAATTTCCTATTTTAGGAGTTAAAATACTGACTCCGGGGATTGATGATTATGATTCTGGGGATTGTGACAATGCGATTTCGGTTCCAAATTCCAGTTTGCTGCGTCCACCGCTAGATGGCAGCATGTCGAAGAATTAGCGATACACAAGCAATGGCCGACTCGGTTGGTGAAGCAAGATACCACAGCTGCACAGCTGTATTTGTATCGTTCCTGTATCTGTGCTTAAGTAGGTACTATTTACAAACTGCATTACTAATATGGAATGCCTCCCGCGGAAGAGCTTCATATCTGGCTTTGGTAACACAAAATTTCGTATTGTTTGATTCGAATGACTTTCTATTGTTTACTTGATCTTTCTAAACATGTTATACAACTCACAGCATAATGCCGTTTATCGTCATTTAAAATGCTTTTCCATACAAAAAGTATCAGAAGTAAGCTTAAAAATCATCAAATCATCCGATACCGAGTTTGTAGCAAGAATTTGGCAGCTGCGTTTTAATGATAATGCCATACTGTGTTTCCCCGAAAATAAGACTGAGTTTTATTTTACATTTCCTTCAAAAAATAAGACCAGGGCTTATTTTTGGGGAATGTCCTATATTTTCATTTATCAAAAACAAAATTACAAAGTAGAGAATTACGAAATTTTCATATATACAAAATATGAAACCGATATCTATATACTTATAAATAACACGTTTATATTTAAAATAAATGCTAAACATAGATTATTAATTATTATTAAAATAAAAAATTCGCGCTACCGACTAGGTTTCATTTTAGGGGAAGGGCTTATTGGACACGTTTAGTGGCCATAACGATCGTTTCAAAATTTTGTTGTTATTGTTATTTGTCTCCGTCTCCATTTTTAAAAAATCGCTTTTCTCTTCGAATACTGGACCAATTGCTTTGATATTTTCAGTGGTTAAAGATAAAATTTTTCTCCAGAAGGCTATTACTTTTTTTTTCGCTATGACGTCATCAAAATTATTGCCACTGGGTGGCGCTACGTGTCCATATATTTGAGCATAGCTCTCTTGTATTAAAATCATATTTAAAATTCAGGCTAGGTCTTATTTTCGGAGAAACACGATAGTAACAAAAGAACTATTCCACGCGCGCAAATGTAAGTAATCGGCATTCATCGAAACACAGGATGGCTAGCTAACATTTAGACCTAATCGGATATATAACAAGATAGCAATGCTCAATTATATGAAGACAAATGACTAATATGATTACCGTAATGTCAACGACATTTTAAGTAAATGCTAAACGAATTGTACCGAATGTCAGTGTGTCCGTGAATTAAAAAGAAACAAAAGCAAAATGTGGTGGTGAAATATCGACACTGTCACCCTCAGAGAAAGTCGTTTAAGTCATCTCTCAAAATGTCTAATTGTAATTCAGTTTTTATTTTCTAACTACCCGTGGACAAGTACTACAACTGAATATATATTTCCACACCCCGGTGTTTAGGCTAGACAACACATGTTACAACATATAATGCAATAACTTACCGGCATTTTTGTTGTTTCGGTCTTTTTCCTGTCTATAATTGAAGTATATCCAAGAATAATCGACAAATCTCGCTCTTACATTTAGCCTATATATAGTCAAATTTTAACAATCTATAGATAACGGAAAGGAATACAGTTAGAAAGATTTTATTTTCACCGTTGGAGACCCAACATACTGCAAGCTAACTTTGTAATTACAATAATAGGTCGAAGGAGTGTCTTGGACTTATTATCTTTTCCCTGCTACCATTTATGAGTAGAGTAGGAGTTATAGATCTCCGTGGATTAATTGGTTGTTTGGCAGAATTAGTTCTCTCCAGCCTTGCTGTAGCTCGTAGTCTTGTTCAAAATTTTGGGTGGAATTATGTTTGTCTCTAAATTGTGCAAATTTATTGGCAACCATTTGCTGTATGTATTGTATGTCCAGTTGATTTATATACCTGTCTTCCCTATCCAGTCTGAGTTTAGTTTTAATTATTTCCATCTTTAATAAAGCGAACATCTTGAGAACGGCTGGCGTGTTCGGGCCCTCGTACGTATTGTCGAAAATGTTTTCTCGTTGAATGTTTAAGTTGTTGCCTGTTATTGCCCGTAAGAATTCGCGAGTGACGTTGTGAATATTGAGGTATGTGGGACATGCTAAAAAAATATGGAAAAAAAAAGTCCTGGACCAGTTTGTTATATATATTTATGTTTTCATATACTATTATGCTGAACCTTTATCAAATTTTATTTTATGCTGGGTGGATATCCTAAGTTTGATTTGGGATATAGGACTGCGATTACACGCCGTGTGCGAGTGAAAATAGATTTCTGGATCACTTTTTCGTCCGCTAGGTTCGGCGTCGATTGCTTTTTACCTGACAATTATTTTTGCCGTTTGACCTGTCGAATTGCTGTCTGAAAAAAAAAATCTGGAATCTTGTGTCTCTTATGTCTGGAATCTCCACCATAAAACATCAAACAAACTGTAACCATTGCTTACAATTCGCTCATCTTCGTATTCCCAAAAGTCAGCTTCGCCAGTAAAGCCGTCTACAGTTGGGAAATCTTATTTGTATCGAACCCGTTAACAACGGGTTCCCTTTTTTTAAAAAATCATGCCGATCTAATACATAACTTTCTAAAAGCAGATATAACGCTAGTCGTAAGCTGCGGCGTAGTTTTACTGTAGTCGTCTCGAAAAATCGGGCGTTAAGTCAGCGAATGGCCTTGATAATATACATATTTGCGTTGCATATTTCAATTTGCTGACGGAGCTGCATCGATGAGTTGTAAACAACAGCATTGATAACGTACGACCGACATAGTGAGTAGGTGGATGAGTGATGCATTACATCATCTTCTTCATGTAGGAGTGGACGTTTCATTTCGACTTATCTATCGACATAAATGTATATATACGCGAATAAGGACAAGCGTCGGCCAACTGTAGAGATAATTTAATAGTCATATGTACCTACGCAGATGTCGAAAACTTATTCGGCTTTTAAAAATATCAAAATTGGTACATTGACATATACTCGAAAATATAGAACAGGGGGCGACAACCTACGGCCCGCGGAATAAAATAATCCGGCCCGCGATGCTTCACCGAATCACAGTAACAAAACGGCTGTTTTGACGATTATATTCTTTACGCAACAGAATTCATTGTGAGACACGTGTAGACTAAATAATAATTATAACCTAATGAGTATAAAATTCGCAATTATTCGTTTAATGAGGCCATAAATTTAAACATAATTAGACAAATGGCAACGTAACGCAGAATAGGTGCTGCTGAGTGCAGAGGGTTCAATGGTGCCGAAAATATTCAAATAAAGATATTGAGAAGCAATGCAATGAAAAAATAAATCTAAGTTCTATTCGAGAGATATATCACTGCTTGATTTTTATTAAAAGTATCTTCGTGAAGAAAAAGTCTATCCAAATTCAACAAATCATGCGGAAAAATTGCATATGCTTGCGAACAATTATTTTCGAAAAAGAACATTACAAAGAACAAGCTGAGAACTCGGATTAGTGATTCCCATTTATAAAATGTTTTAATCTTGGCTTCATCCAGTGTCCCATTTAAATAATGTTTTCCATTTAGTGATGCCGAAAACGTATCAAGGGTGATGCAACAAAAAGTGTCACATTAAATTTCATTTGTAAATTAATTTTTTTCTTCAAGTAAGACGACTAAGTTGAATTCACGAGTTATTGCAACTTCTGACTTGTGTGAAAAAATTATGTTTCATCGGCCATCTATTCGGTTTTTACCGTTGTAAAGACATGTGCGGCCCTCCATGACAAGTAACCTTTAATTTTGGCCTGCGAACGATAAAAGGTTGCCGACCCCTGACATAGAATATAAACAGGTAAGGAATTTAAATTGACTTATACATAAATAAACATCGGTGGTTCCCAGTCACTAAATTCCTTCTTACTTGGATAATTTTAGAACTGTTTATTACTATCTCACAATATGCAGAAAAACGACTTTTTTTAGTCAATTTTCAATAGACAACTTGAAGAACTTCAAAATTCCTCCAGGGATTGAAAACGTGGGGGTATATTCTTATAATAAAAACTTCCGTGTTTCCTCATTCCAATTGGCTACGTATAATGAAACTCGCTTTATTAAATTTGCAAAATATTTACCATATATATCACATCATGCATTCTTTTGCTGTCAGCTAATATCTAATACTCGACCATAAAAAATGTCACTGGGTATCCACAACTGACAGAGCTATAACTAAACATTTCGTATGACTTAACCAGTTATTCGTCTTTGTTTCAGAGTTTATTTTTGTACGGTATTTTCGTGGTGCGACGTTAGATATCAGATAGGTTTTACGTTTTGAAAACGGAAATATCACCCACTATAAATAGACTAGTACGGCGGACTGACTTGACGCAACATATTTGGCTTTTTTTTCAACGTGGTTTAGCTATATTTATTCAATTATGAGTCAACTAAGCACTATCAAATTAGTTTGTTTCCGTTGTACACAAGTCTAACATCTGCCGTTTGATCAGTTCTAATTGTGTGGGAAACCATTGTAGGCCGAAAATACTGCAGTTTGTTGTCATTTGGAAGAGTATAGGCCTACATATGACATTCAATCATAAATGATCAGTGTCACCCATATCTAGTTCGGGGCCCTATGCGAGACGATGTTTGCGCGACGCCAAGTTTGAATAAAAGAAGAAGAATAACTATAAAATGAGATATCGTGATAGAAAATGAATTCGGTTTTTCATGTTATTACTTTTTTAAAAACCAAGTACAATACTCCAGTTGAAGTAACGTTTATTTACAAGCACTGCGCGCAGTTAAGTCTATATGTCTTCGTGAATTGACCTCGAGTAATTCACAGGATTTTGATCGTGATAGATTGCAGTGGCGTAAGCCGGCCCAGTATACATAATATTGCCTCAACGACCAGGTATCCGAAACTAACTGAAATGGGCGCTCTAAAAGTCCCCGAACTCATAATATAACTAAAATAAGAAAAATCGGAATAAAATTATGGCCTAACTCTGGCCTGGTACACACACTACGGGAGTACCCTAAAATGAGCACAAGAAACTGGATTGTACCGACGACAAGGCGGTTAATTAATGACTAATTTTTTCGAATACCAAACTGACGTTATCTATCACTCAAGTAAAGATTTGTAGGTTCTGTCAACACAACTCATTCCTCTCGTCTCTCATAATAAGTTACTATTTTCGACTAAATCGATAGATTTACTAAAACGTACAGCGTGTTCATAAAGTCCTGTATTAAATTAGGTAAAAGAACTTCAATGTGCTTCGTGCTAATTAATGTCGGGCATATGAAGGTGTATGTATTAAGTGGTATAAAAACTCAAACAAACACTGAAAATAAAACAAACTCAAATGCCTCCAAAACAAAATTTAAAAATTGTAACCTGACTTTATGAACAACCTGTGGCTACATCTATCTTTAGCATTTACAAAGATGAGCGCTCATAATAATTATTGCTATGATGTTAGCTGTAAACACTGCGCATATTTGTGTACGAAGAAGCAGTAGGCATCAAAGATTTGCCCACACAACTATTACGCATCGAAATTCCAAAATACCGTGAAGTACTTCCTTAACGTGTGATTTGAGCTTTTAAAACGAGACTCAAGGTCTAGAAAATTTGTATTGATGAACTTTTGAAAAATATCTGTAAAATATTCACGATTTTAAAAGTGGCCTGTTTTATGAAACACTGCTGTGACAGTCGATACAAATAGTAACACCCACACAGACGATTGGTATTTTGCAAAATAGTATTATTGCTTCACACAGTACGGATATTGACCGTAAATGGACAAAGCACGTATGATAAACATCCAAGTAATCGTAAATTATTCGGATTACGGACAAATTCTCATAACTTTACTTTTTTTGACGGCGCTTCCCCTGCGGATGACGTATCGGAAAAGAAGGCTTGAAAAAGTATATTTAGCGGATAATTGGAATTGAATTTGGTGTTCAGGATTGCCGGAAATGTTGTAACAAAGAGGGTTGGTATTAGCTCGACCGAAACAAAATAGGTTACAAATAAGAAAGTGAGTAAGAGTTGGGATGAGAACATGGAGTTTGGCTTACTGGGTGAGAAAGGTTGTTCGCTATGCCGACTCGTATCTTTAATTAGAAGCCTAACTAAACGCATGGCGACGATCAACCTTGACAGTGCTTGAGTACCTATGAGTTACAACCTTCGGATATTTTGTACAAAGCCCCCGTCAAAAAACATCCCCGCTTAAAATAAGAAAATTATTAATTATCCAGTTTGGGTCGAGATTGCAGATTGCGTTGAAAATTTTCAAATCATTCCTAACGCTAACCCAAACTGGATATTTACTAATTACTTATTTCGAAACGAGGCTGGAGCATTTTTCTTGAATATCACATTTTTGCATTGGCGGCGTGGACTTCGCACAAAAGATCTCAATCTTCTACAAAATATAGTGATTCGAGAATTATGTTTGTTCAATACAAACCTCAATAAGTTCTGTCTGACTTAAAGCTCGCCTTCTATCACAAGTAATCTATATTCTTTCACGTCGCCGACATCTGTAGTTTTACGGCCCCTAGTCATCGCGCATATTTAGTCAAAAAAAAATCACACATTCAATTTCAAGTTGTCAGCTGCAACTGTGTGTGAACGATACGAAGAGTTTCAATAAGCCTGCACACCCATTTAAACTTAATACAGATATCAATTATAGTACAGGACATGTAGAATGAAATTTAAAAAAAAATGATGCTGATTATTTTCAAGTTTGTTGAAAGGCCGGCGTCTCGCGTCAATTCTTCTGTGTCAAATGTTTTCAGGTTTTAGAAGGGTTTGGCGAACCCAAGTTATGGAATCCTCGAAATTAATGTCACGGTCTTTACGATAGAAAGGAAGTAAACAAGCAACGAGTCGTCATCGGTGCTGAATGAGTACATGGTAGAACCGGTAAAGTATATACTTTTACACTGTAATAAGGAAAATATATTTTTGTTAGTTTTAAAAATCATAAGTTTATAGCCCGGTCGTAGAACAAAAAATTCAAAACACTCTAATTAATATGGTTATTCTAAAGAGAGCACCCACTCTCACACAAAAACTTTATTGAAAGCATCTTGTTTTCATTAATTTTCACGTCCTCAACAAATGAGAATTGAGGTTCAGCGCCCAGAGGAACGGGCCGATTTTATATTCAGTTCAAAATTACGTACACGGGAATTGAGCGATATAATGGCCTATTTGCATATTACAACGTGTGTATATATAGAGAGAGAACTAATATTATGGAATTTTATTTGAAAGATTTGATTTTCATGTGCAATATTTTCATCCTTCGTATTGTAAGACACACTGGCAGACGAAAAACGACGGTAATATAAATATTATATAAATAAAAAAGTAACAATAATATCGTCATTTTCAAGTTTCCCAAATAATTCATGTATCACGCTCATCGTTGTGCGTATATATTTTGTTTCGTCAGTCGAATATATACTGGTCAGGTTATCTTGTGAAAAGACCGATCTTGTCGTCAAAATATGAAACACTTAACGCCTCCTCTACTTCCCAAGTTCATGTATCAAAACAAATTGAGCTAATCTAAATCAAGTATAACGATAGTCAACTACAACTTTAGAATATTATCAGCTTCCGCCTCGCCTGGCATATTTATTTTCCTTTCGCATAATAAATAATATTCTTCCCCATAGTTTCCCATTAAAATATTTTTGAATACTATCTGCTTTTGTATTAAATCGACGAGCTGCGCTTGAGATTTTCTATCAAGAACAAGTGACGGGCTCTTGAGATATAGCCGCCCGACCTCCAGTACGGTTCGCATAATCGCTTGTCCACACCACACACGAATTGGAACTAATCATGCTGGGTCACTATACTCGCGCAGTTACTGGTATCCGATGTTATCATTTTATAGCCTACCGACAACGATAAGTTCGTGTAACATGATTCAAAATACAACTTAGAAGTGGGATGGAACAGATAGTTACAGACAAAGAACTGCTAGAGCAAACCCTTTCTAGTGCAAAGTATGATTAGAAACGGTTCGCACTGGCAAAACATTTCGCTTATTACATTTCATTTTTTGTTATCTTATTGTTATGTTTCGCGGATGTCCTTATTTTGGGTTTCGTATCGATGACAGTAAAAATGTCTGCTAAATAAACGATATCAGTAATGATTTCACAGCTTCGTCCAGTTGAAAATTGAGAAGTGTTTGATCAAAGGATCGTAAAGAAAGCAAAATCGAGTCATGCAAGCACTTTAAGCTATCGAACTGCGGTGTATATAGAAGATAACTCTCCTGATAGGGTTGCAATGAGTCCAGGTATACCGATGCTTTTCAACAACTGTAGCAGCACAGTCCGTTGTAAATTGCAATATATTTTGCACTGGTATCTCCTTTTCGTCAAAAAATCCTCTAATGAATTAAAGACAGTTGTTGTAGGAGTACCAACAGGAAAATTGATGGCAAAATGCATTTTTTGTTGGGCCTGCGTATTATGTCATGTCACACACATCTCAACAGTGGTGATTCGGTATTACGCAGGATGTATTCGTCTACCAGCTGGAATATTTGGATACAAAAAGGATTTCAACAAGTTGGTTGCACACACCATAGTCCATTTCATCTATGGGTCGTTGAACTGTATCATTACTTGATGGCACATCACGCAAAACTTGAGCATTCTGTTCAACCGACAACACTAGGTATTCTGCAGTGCGTGGCTTTGCTTTTTGCAAAGAGCTAAGGGGTACATTTATATATACCATAAGAAGAAGTTTATCCACATTCGTGTATCAGACTGACTAAAAAGAGATCGGATTGTACTTTTCTTTTTATCCCTCAGCTGTCGCTGTCAATTTTATTGGATGCATTCTGTCGAAATGGTCTTGGCTGGTTGCTTGAAATGTCGCGATAATTCTGACTTTTCAAGAATGCGCTATCGCTCCGTCCGAGGTTTCGTACCTGTTGTCGATAGTAATCTTACAATTGGTGCCTAAACAAAAAGAGTGTACCGAAATTTCTTACTTTTCGAGAATGCGCTATCGCTTTCCCGGGGATTCAGTCCTATTGTATTGTATTTCTGGTGCCGCCGTGGGAGCGATATTGCCTGGTTTAGGAACCACGCAAGCTAAAGTTGCGAAGAACGAATAAAAATGTGTTTGCACCCGAAAAATCATTATCCCCAAAGCTTAAAATTTTTACCAAAAATTGTATAATGTTTAAAGAGCTTGGCCTCCATTATGTTGGTTTAATATCACAGGTTGAAAATCCGGTATTCCCGAAGTATGTGGACCAAGATGGCGGACACCGGAAAGTAGTATGTGTACCGGGTTAGGCCATAATTTCAAGTACAAATACTATACGAGAGTAACTTGGCTAGTCCCCGAACATGTAATAGAATTAAAATAAGGGAAATTGGAGTAAAATGATAGCCTTACCCTAACCTGGTACACATACTACGTTCCGGTGTCCGCCATCTTGGTTCACATGCTTCGGGAATACCAAAACTTCCACGCCCACCTTACACTCAGGGGGATATAATTTGGGTAAGCAATGCCGCGGACCCGTTTGTGAAACTTCGTTTTTACGAAACCCCATCCTTACAACACAAATTACAAGTGATGGATGGGGTCGCTTTTCACTGCATAATTTATAAATTCTCGATGCAGTTTGTGACAAGATCCGACTCTACGGCAAGTCTCGACCTGTATTTTGTCATCATATTGGTAAGAGCTGAAAATGCTGCCTCGCGCATGTAGGACGTTGCAAAGGCAATAACGTTTTAATTATCCTTTTCTGACAACAATAGATATTCGTCCACAACGCTCAACCAAAAAGATACACTGGCTTTTTGATTAAAATCGCGGTCGCGGATTCCCTGTGCAGTTATAACGAACCCCCAGGAGTCAGCGGACCCCAGATTGGGAAACCCTGCCCAAGGGTGTAAAAATTGAATAAAAAAGTCGCAAAACAAGACTGGAGTGTGATTTTTACAATGGCAAAAATCTTTGATAGTCGATTCAAACTTGACCCCCAACAAGTGTTGATTCATGTCACATTATTACTTACATGGCATTTTAATGCGATGAATAGTAATCTGTACAATCAATACTGTTACCCTCCGCGCTTTGAAGGCGACAAAAAACAACAGTTCACACGTCATCAAAGAGACATGGTTTATTAAAATAATCAAAACAATGGTGACAAAATTTTTAGGGCCGAAAGGTCCGATTCGGGGAGTTTTTTCGGGGTCAGAAAATTTGCAAAATTCTCGAAAACGAAATTGTAAAATAATACAAACCAAAAATATAACAGCAACGAAAACAACACCGTGAACTCAAACTAACAGGAATTAGAAATAGACTTGTTATGAAATCGATGACGCTTAAATGACGTCATAATAGAATGACGTATTAATAATAATAGTATGACGTCATCAAGTTTGCAATAACTTGTACGGAAACAAACTCGCTTGGGTTAAGTAATTAATAGTGATAAACTGATAACTCCTTTAGGTAAGTTTATCATTTGGAAATTTACCAAGGGGGAAAGGCAGTCAATATAATACTATGTTGTCAGGTAATTGAAAAGTTTTGCCTTTTAAAAAGTGAAAAATTCACATATTTCCCGTTTTTGCCAAAAACTTTTACCATATACACCCAAAACATATCAGATCTTAATTATCAGTCGACACAAAACAGTAAATTTGATCCTTTTATAACAAGTTTGATCCTTTTATAACAGACAATCTTATGGTAAGACAACCAATGCTAAATTTCGTAATCAGCAGCCTTGTCACAAAAAAGTGGACGAATCCTATAACATAGCCACAAATTTAGTAGCTAGCCCCTTGATATACAAAGGAGGGAGAACTAATCCAGGTTTTTCAACTTTGCGATGACTACAATAAATTAAATTGACGATGATTTGTCTAATTGTTCAACCAATATGCAAGTTTGCTGTTATTTACTAATACCGGTAGCAGCGAATAAGAAAACTGATGAAAACCCCTCTAAAAACAGTTTTTCTTTGAAGAAGAAGAACAAGGGGCACAAAGTGTTATGGGTCTTCAGAAGGATGCCGACGGTCATAAAATTTGAGTCTAATCTTGAATTGTCGCACCTTTTTTAGTCAAGAATCAAGTATTCATGTCCGTTAATATTCAACTTGGTATTTTTTTATCGTTCTTGAAAAAGGAAGAAAATCAACGTCCATTGACTTAACCAATCCCTATAGGTAAATTTCTAACTGAAGTTTCTCTACTATGCGAGAAAAAGATCAACAACAAATTGAAACAAAAAAGAAATTAAAATGATAAAATTTATCTAAGTTATAAAAGCAACGTCTTATTGTTACGGAGTAGAAGTTCTGGATAATTTTTGTCTTCAAAAATAGCTGACGGAAAAAAAACAGGCAAAATTTATAAAAAAATCTGTGTTCAAAATTTTAAACCCAATGCGGGCAAATTGCCACAATCGGACCATATGTTAGCCAATGGTAACCGCAGAAAAGTTCAAAATTGTTTGTTCATATAAACGAAAACAAAAAATCTACAATTTAACTGTAACCATTTTCTGGTTGAATGATCACAAAAGTCACAAATCAACGCCACCTTGTGGTAAAGAGAGCGCTAGTGAACAGTGGAACAATAAAATTAACATTATGTAAGTTTCAAAATAGCAATCCTGAATATAGAATAGGTTTATATGGAAAACGGTAAAAACAAAATCATTTATAATCATGTCTCATACATACTAATGTTGTGTTTTCCTTCATCTGAACGCTCCCCCCTACAGACTCTAAATTGTGAGTATTCACATATTTATATATATAAGAAAGAAGAATGGGTATAAACAAGAACCCTGCAATAGTCCTAATTTAATTTTAAAACAAATTTCCCTTTTTTTTTTCATTCGAATAGACTCCGAAACCAATTTTAGTTTTTCGTTGACATTCGGGCAAAAACTGGTTGAAAAATCTGGCACTCATCATGCTATACCAAATTTTATTGAAAAAGAAACCAAAATTAGCCATATTTAGTCCTTTGGTATTGAAATTTCTGGTTCAAACTAAAAAAATCTGTGATTTTTTAGTTCAAATTTTGTGCTTTTTGATATCATTCACAAATTTTGTGAAGGAAAAATGCAGAATTTCTGAAAACAAAAATTTCAAATTATCCAACGAGTCTCAGCATTCGAGTACGATAGATACATGTGGGAATACTCTCTAAGCTATGTTTAATCCAGATATGACCACGTCCATAGTGGGGGAAGCTGTATTCAGTCTTCATTTACTAATTGAAATTTAAAGGTTCGACTTGGCATAGTGAGCCACGCAAGTTGTCGAACAAATCAAAAATCTGCAAATTCTTTGGCGTGTTTTTCCGTCGAATGGATTCGGAGTTGTTCTTCCTCGTAGTCGTCAAAGTTGCTCGAATCCCCAGCATGCTTGAATTTAGGGATGAATGGTGCCTCGACCTGTAAGATTAGGGTATTCAGGTTAGCAAATAGTTAACCTGTTGAATGTTCCAGATGCATGGACTCAGATGGCTCAGTAACCATAAAGACACCCAACAAGTTTGAACTCTCCTCAATTAGAAAAAAAAAATAATCCAACCAAATAGCAAGCAAGCGGCGATTTGTAAAAAAACATATACATTGAAACAGATTGATGAAAGTGCAAGCGTTGAAATTCTTGCGTGCAGGTATAGGCAAAACCAAATAATCGGCTACTCAATAGTGTTATATTAAAATTTTCAGTAATTAAATGAAGACCTTTTTGGTGTACATCAAGAATTAACGCCTAAAATAACAATTTTAATGAAATGAAACTATTCTAAGTTGGCACCAAACCGTCAATTCCAAAAAGAGAAGTACAGTATTTAGTCCCAAAACACCAGAACTCAAAATTTCAATAGTTCCAAAAATTATACTCAGACATTCCTGCTTGTAAGTGATATTAGCAGAATACAAGCATCATTCACTACTAAATCTCACCTTTCTCTGATAGATTGCAATCCAGTCGATGGCAGAAAACCACCTGTGACCTTTGATATCAGCAACACCGTTCTTCAAATTCCCGTAACGTTTTGTCAAATCAACTTGAAGTAAATTACGAAGCAAATCCTTCAGTTCAGAAGTGAAATGAGATGGGAAACGAACCTGAGAGAGAAAAAACTCATTTTAGACACTGAAAACACTTGTAAATATTTTATATATAGGATATTTTCCCGTGGGGAGAGGGAAGCTGATAAGGCTCCTTAATCATGTGGTATACCATGGCCTCTCCTCTGGTTACTAGTTCACATTGGGTATAGGAATAGTTGACCATTTATTTGTTTCAGATGCATGAACCATGAAAATCTAGGAACTTCCGTAGTGAAAAAATAGAGTTTACTTTTATTGCCGAGCTTAGCCAGCAAGATCACTTAATGTATAGCAAACCCCCCTCATTTGGTCACTCGTTCGAGTAGAGAACTGGTTTGCCAGTTAAGTATATTCAAATGCATGCAATGAATTGATTGAACTACATTATGACACCGCTCCGTGATGATCACAAAAGTTTATCGCATTCTGTCATCAATTAGAAGCAGTGTCTCAAACACATCATCGACCAAGCATTTTAATTATATGAGTATAAGTTTATTTTGACTCCATAATCAGTAGTAGACGATAAAATAATAGATAAAGACAGAAAAAAAGAACCAAAAAATTACCATTTCAAGCAACCATTCTAAATTATTCAAAAAGATCTGTCATCAGAAGCAATGTCTGCCTAATTTATATAGGAGAGGTGGTGGCCATAGAATTGAATTAAAGATATTTCAATATGCTAAAAGGTTCGTTGCTCTTAACCACTTAGCCAGTGGCTCTCAAACGAAGGGGCGCGCCCCGCAAGGGGGCATAGACAATTTTTTGATGGGGCGTGAAGCAAACTAAAAATTAAAAAAAGTTAGGCGCCTTATCCTGAATATTTAGATGCGATTCCATCCACGTACTTTTCAAATAAAAATACTGTTATTTGTAGCTTATTGTTAGCTGTTTTTTTTTTAGGTGGGGCGCGAGACTTGACAAATTTTAAAAAGGGAGCGCAGCTTAAAAAGTTTGAGAACCAATGCACTGAGCCAATCTTGCCTACTTCTCTTTTTCAGCGAATCTATGATCCCACTCACCTTTCCAGAAACAATCTTTTCATAAATTTGTATAGGTTGATCAGCAAAGAATGGAGGATACCCAGCAGCCATTTCATAGATCAAAACACCAAGTGCCCACCAGTCAACTGCCTTGTTGTAACCCTGAATGGAAAGTCATGTATTGTTGAAACTTGAAAGTGCACATTTTGAACCATGATGCTGTGAAGTCACATGTTAGCTTGTTTTTATCAAACTCAACGAATTGAAATTTGTGTTCTTCTTACAGGAGTTTAAGACTTTTTGGTGGTCAAACTTTCTAGAAAGTCAAGAATCCTCAAATTAACTAAGCCAGGGTTTCCCAAACTCGCGACTCCGCAGGGGGGGGGGGGGGGGTCACAGCAAATTTTAGGCGTCGCAAAGAGTGAACCAATTTCACCCGAAATACTATTTTAGACTTTTGATTCGAAGCACAATTATTAAAACTAGCACCAAACATAAATCTCATGATTTCGAGAGAATACATATGATCAGAGAAGCGACGCGATTGCATAACAATACAGATTCAACAGGGGTGACGGAAAATTTTGATAAATTGAAGGGGGCGCGAGCTCGAAAGTTTGGGAAGCACCGAACTAAGCAATAGACAATAGAATACTTGAATTTCCCAAATTTGAACGGCATTTGCTCCTCTCCTTTTTAAAATCCAAATTTACTTAAATCTGGGATCAAGAGCCGGAGTCAAAATTTTGTCAACCAGGAGTTAAGAGTCTGAGAATCAATGGTATAAGTTGGATGTTCAATTTTCCCCACTTCACATCAATGAAAATATACACTGAAACAAAACTCTTCAGATATTCTATTGAATTACCCATTAGCAAATTGCAGTTTTGCTTTCCATAATATTTAATTTTGGAATACCTTAATAATATCGGGTTTATTGAGCAAACTTTGGCAAAATCTTTCCATATGTTATTATTATTCATGTGAAAAATGATGTTTTCGCATTATTGTTCAGTGTTTAAAACACTATAATAGAGAGTCAAATCTGATAAACCCAATTAACATAACAAAATAAATGCAATATTGTTTCAGCCTGCAATCGTTCATGTCCTTATAATAATAGATAAAAGTTGATGTCTAAAACGGCCAAATTCGCAAAGATAAATTTAGCATATAAGGCTTCATTAGCATGACTACTTATTAACCTAAGCTAAACCTATACACATTTACCTAGCAATTACTAAGGCATCATTAATGGCCAGTCATTGCAAAAAAATATCATACCTTGCTGAGGATAATTTCAGGAGCGAGGTACTCTGGTGTGCCACATAGTGTCCATGTCCTTCCTTTCACTCTTTTTGCAAATCCGAAGTCAGTCACCTAATTAAAATAAGTAGGATGTGTGAGTGCGAAAAATTCATGATACAGCATAGAAAAGGATGACTGAGCATTCGTTACAAAGATTGATTAATTATGAATTTGGGATCACATTTATACTGGGGGAGAGTAAAACCAACAAGACTGATAACTGTATTCCTAGTACCTAGCAAGATGCACCAATGAAAGAGTTCTGAAATTTTGGTATAATCAAGAAATGTACTACCTCCACCTGTTTTCAACATCTATATTTTAGAGTTCAGACAGTAATACTGTTTTGAAATTACTATCGACCATGAACTAATAGAAATCAATAACTTGATTTTCATTTTTTTTTCAGAAATTCAATGATTTGCATTCACTTTGGTCATACTTTGAGACTTTCATTGGTCAAAATATAATTTAGGAAGAAAAATTTCTCAATCGAAATATCATAAAAAAATTTAAATATTGAATATATATCCAATTTCAAATAGAATTCAATAGTTATGTTTTGGAAACCCTTGAGTGTGATCATGAATAGGAAAATACTTTAAGCAAACTCAAATCAAAAGACAATGGAAAAAACCAAACATCCTTATAGCCATAAATCAAATTGAAAGCGCAACTAGATCACCATTATTAAATAAAGCAACCGCAATATAAAACGTGATGCTTCGATCAGTGGAGAAAAAAAAGTAAAACCGATTCATAATTAATGAGCTGCCTTTTATAAGCGAACTAAAAATAGACATCTAACCGAGTGCATACAAAGTTTAATATTGATTAATAGAACAATCGAAAGTAATCATTACAAAGATGGACGAAACGTTTATGTGAATTTATGCATTTATTAATAAATGGGATGAATTATGACCAGTTTGTGAAATACAAAAGGAATATATCTCCCTCAAGATTGCAATATGTCTATGAGAGAAGTATGTGAAGTATTTATATCTTTTGGAAATTAATTGTATTTGGTAGGCCTATTTCTAATTCTCACTTTTGAGAGAAATATGGAATGGATATGAACAAAAAACTATCATTTTGAGCAATTAGAGTCAGAAAACCTTCTTTTAAAATTCTAAAAGCAATGAAACTATGAAGAGCAAATCGATTTCATGCATTTTCATCTTTCATGCATAACCTATTTAGATATATTCAATATTTGGGTCTAGCGAAGTAAACGCCGTAACTGCCTAAATGACGCCAAACAAAAAGGTGATATGAAATTTTAACATATTTTCAAAAAAAACCTGTATGACGCAGAAAGAGATAATTGAAACATGTGTATAGTCCAAATCCGAGCCACTCAATTTTAAACTATGCAGAGATGTCCTGTGCAAAAAATAGGGTATTGTATTCGCGAAATACTCTGGACTTTTTTAAAAATGAAAATTTGGGTTGTATTCTAACATCCCGTTCACTTCACAATACTTTATTGAAAAGTATTATTTTAGAATGTATTCGGAATAACAGATTACTCAGTTCGGGAAATCCCTGCCTCAAGCCATTCAATAGTTTTTAAGCTTTTTATTTGCAAAGCAAGATAAGATAAACATGATTATAGATAAGATGACAATACCAGGAACAAAATTTTCAATTTACTTGGACTCAAACAATCATGAATATTTCAGAAGGCAGTCAACACAAGATAACATCTAAATATTTAGGGCTGCAGAAAACATGACTGAAATAAAATTTAAAATCCTGACAAAAGAGTTGAGAAATAAAAAAAACTAAAATTGTTGAAGAGATAGTACATAGATTGAACCTCTCAAAATATCCCCCCACACAATACAAGCTTGTAAAGTGTGTGAGGCAATTTTGTATCTTCAAATTAGGTACCGTATATGCTCACATATAAGCGCCCTAAAGAGATTAATTTATAAAAATTCGGATATAAGCCGACCCTACAAATCGTAACACGCCGTATGCACCTATCAAAGCAAATGGTTGCAGAAGTGAATTAATAAAAATGATAACTAACCATTATAGTTATGTTCTACTTTTATCAATAATGGTAAGAAGTGTCTCAAAATCCTTTAAATTTATCCTCACAGTCAAACTCCAAGGAGATTTTCCCCAGTCCCAGAAGTTATGCGTGTATAAGTCGGAATTTTTTAGTGCAATCGAAGTTATGCATGTATAAGCTGAATTATTCACGTTTTTTACTGTGAACAGGGACCTATAGAGGCAGCCACTGATATCAAATATGTAATGAGCTACACTTTTTGAAGACCGGAATCTTTTCGATTATCAAGTTTGTCGAAAATTTTGACATTGATTAATCATTACCTAATGAGTGAAATTCTGATTCAGACTGTCAATCATTGAAAACTATTGGGTCCGAATCCCGAAAATTTAAAAATTATTGTCCTGGTGAGCTCAAAAATGCAATTCTGGCTCTGACTCCAATATCAAGTAAAACATGCTGAATGCTGACTACAAAGCCCTTCTTAGAAGCATGAATGAAAGATTGACCATGAAAATCACTTACATACCGGTAACCTCAAAACAAGACAATATTATTGACAACATTAAATTAGGGACCCACCTGAAGATATCCTTGTTGATCAATAAGAAGATTCTCTGGTTTCAAATCTCTGTATATAATATCGAGATAATGGAGATATTCAAATGCAAGGACAATCTGTGCTGCGTAGAACCGTGAATGAGGCTCGCTAAAATAGAATAAATCAATTGAATTAAACATATTTGTAAAAATTGTTTTTAAAAATACATCAAAGATATCAATTCTTTACAATAACATTAATAGAATTAAAACCAATAATGGTTCGAATTCATGAACTTAATAGAGGTTTTCCTTATATCGAAAGACCCGAATCGTGTATGTCATGCTAGAAATAAAAGAGTGCGGTCCTTTCCATACACCCGCATCTGAAATAGACTTATGTTTATACAGAGGCTCAGAGCACAACAATGAATCAGCATTATATTCCTAGAACAGCGAAACGTAGACCAGCAAGTAAAGAAGTATTCTTGTGTAGCAATGAACCTGGTGACGTAATGCAAACAGGGCCAGTGAATAAACAAGAGCATTTAGTGTCTATAATGAATAATACAAAGTCTATCTTATCTTATTTGGATAGCAAATGAATCATTGTAAGTGATTATACTTGAGCATTTAGCACAATTTATTCCTTCAGAATTCAGATTCACTGTGAGGTTGAGGTTATCATAAATCATCAACTGTCAGGCCAGTTGTCGAGTTCAGCCAACCTTTACGAGACTATAAAAATTCCTATCGTTGTAATTATAGGAGTAATGTCAATATGATATCGACAATACACACATTCGATCGATACCTATAGTGTTGTCTTTCTATACCACTGGGCTATGCTTGTTTGCCAATAAGAGACACAAAACCAAAACTTTCACTACAATGATTATGGTATATCCTGTAGTGTTTGTACAAGGTTAGGGTCAGGCCATAATTTTTTTTCCGATTTCCCTTAGTTTAGTTCTATTACAAGTGTATGGACTGTCTGTGTTAGCCAAGAGAATATACCCCCCTTATTTCGATTTTCCTCTTTTTAGTTCTATTACGAGTTCGGGGATTGTCCGTGTTAGCCAAGTGAATATCCATCCCCTGCCCATAGGCTTCAGTACCTTCATACAACTTGATGTAGGCAAACAAAATTAGTTATCCATATTAGTACACACACTTCTGGAGCGCCTAGATCTAGATTATTATGGATAATTTCCCAACCCTTTGAGTATTTTCATGGATTGGGATTTTGGACGTACAAACTGGTTTACATGCTTCGAAACCATCAGTTGGTCGATTTTGTGTTGTTAATTAAAAGCACTTATAGTTGATTTTATGCTGTCTAACACAGACTTACCGGATTAATTTTTGTACACGGCTAGTAAACCAAAACTGCTTAATAAAAGAAAGGACAAAATGAAATGATTTCTTTAATTTGTGCCCAGAGTTTACAAACGCAACTAACAAATGTATGGTAAAATCACAAAAACGAGCCAATATGTACAACCATGCCTAAGAGGCTGTCTACACCAAAAACATGCGTCTCGAGCGACTGCACACATTTCACACTCACAGAATCAAATTCAGTAACAAGTTGACTAGGAATTTTCTCAATTGAGATATGCTGATTGAATACAAATTACCTGAATCTCCCAATTCTCCTCAAATGTGAGAACATCTCTCCTCCCATAATGAAATCTAGGACCATGTATAAGTTGCTGTTGTCCTGGAAGAAAAAATAAAAGAATAACAGAAAATTAAATTTTAGCTGTCTTTATTGGATGAGTTGACAACTGATGATTGGATTTTATCATTATAATTGAATACAGTAATCAGCAATTGTATTGAGAGTTGATATCAAAATAGTTTGGTGGTAGACAATCTTTCAGAAGCTCTGAAATTTTGGTTTTTATGAAATTTAATGTTTTTGAAACAATAAGTCTTGTCACATTGGCTCGATTGGACATTGTTCTCGAAACAAAGAAAACGTCCACTGAAAACAGTAATTTAAACTATCGTATCATATATCTTAAAATATCAGTTGTTTTGTATAATTTTATAATTGCAATTTTCCAATAACAAGCCTTTTAAAATCTTTCACATTTTACAGTGATAAAGCTTGAAAACGCAGTATTGTACACTTTCAACATTCCTAAACTTGAATTATTGAACAGAGAAAATGGAGTTAAAAAAGGAAAGTTCGTTAAGTTTTCAAACCTACAAATCATCTTTTCAAAACAAAAGCCCAAGTCAGCATAATATTTTATACTTCCGTCTACATTTATCAATAATTTATAAGTTTCCTTAGAATCTCAGTATATTGATCAATTCAAAGCAATCAGGTTGTGAAAGCGAAAAGCTTACGTTCGTTTTTTCTCAACTATTCAAGGTATAATATTTTTTTTTGAAAATAAATTTTAGTCATCCATTCCTAATTACTTTTATTTATTAAACAATAAACAAGAGCAATAATCAAATATAAAGACCAATACGTTAACCATGATGTCAGCAAAATTATAGTCAAATGTTGAAGAATTTACAAAATGCTAATAGAATCAGCAGAATTCGGGTGAAAAATTCGGCCTCTTAGGACTAGGAAGAATTTGAGACAAAAATTAAAGTAATAGCCTTGCAACGTTTTATTTTTATTTTTAGGTAAATTGGTCCATTAACCTCAAAGTAAAGCAATTTCAATAAAAACAGCCCACACAATTTTGCAAAATGATCCCTAACTAAAATGATTCTGTAACTTAATTACTAAGGCATCCTCACACACTAACACTAAGTTCAATTTCAATAATATTAATGTTAGTTTAAATCACTGAAATGTCAAGAAAATATACTTCAAATGTAAATTTATTATACGCCAACCAAATTTCCTATACTTCCCTTTTATTTTTATGTTTAATTGGAATAATATGCAATGCTGGGAAATGGCAGTATTTATTGTGAACAAAAATGGCATGTGAACAGCAAATTATGTAAATAGGACATACATTAATACAGGGGTCTGCAACCTCTAATACAGAAGGTCCAGATAGAAATACTGGGTGAAATCGCGAGCCGTACCTTTATTGAAAATAGGCTAAAGTAGTAGTGCGAGCACAAAAATTTAAGTTGTTGACCTTGTGACATGAGTTGTTTGAACAAGCTAGCTGTTAAGGCATTGTAAAGTCATGGGCATAGATAGTAAATTGGACTTAGTTATAGGCTTCGCTATGCAAAAGGATTGGAATTACTTGCACCACCAAATTAAATTAAAAAGTTGTTTCGAAGGCCGCACATCTCTTACTTTTGTTTGAAGGATTTTTACTACTGAACGGACCGGTAAAAAAAATAACTGAAGGATTGGGTTAAAAGCGAAACTAGTTTTTTCTTTTACTGAAGAGGGAGATGAATCAAGAAAGTTGAGCAGCACTGCTTTAGGTCTGATTCAAACCCACCTATTCCCATTGCAATATTCATCATTAATAACTCTAATTTGCGGGTTTATCGTCAATATTTACCTTGAAAGAATATTCCATGCTGACGAGGAAGGGAAAACTAACTGCTTGTAGAATTTTCTTCTCATTCAATGTGTGTTCAACTTGTTTCAGTTTGACTACCTGAAAAACAGAAAAAAAAATGTTAGTGGAAAGAGCTCAAATCAAGGTCACACGTGCTCATAAGTAAATAGGACTCGCACAGTAAGTTGCAAACGACTACTGAAATGCCAGGAACTGAAACTATGAGCAAGGTCAAGGTCACATGTACTCAACCAGAAGTAAAGGAGACTCAATCTATGAGCAAAGTTACAGTTCACTATTCAAATGGTAAGAAATACTGAAACTATACAGAATTATGATGCTGCATTATGCGAGACAAGGATATCTGCACTAACTCGTAAGTGAATGAGACGCATCTCTGGGCAAAGTTACAGTTGACTATAGAAATGCCTATATAAATAGTTACAGACTCTTGAAGCATATTCAATGTTATTCTTGCTACAACATCCTTACATTATTTGCATACGAATCCACCGACACAAGAGCATAGAAGAAAGATAAGTAATTAGTCCCGCAAAAACCAAATCTATAGCGCAAGTTACAGAAACTATATGAATTTATGCATTATGCACCAGTGAATGTCGATTCCTGTGAGACTGTAAGAAGTATGACATATTCAAATTAAAAAAATTTACAAACAAAACTTCCAAAGTAGAAAATAAACTGATCGAATGAAACTTTCTGGCTCTTGTATGCAATCGTACAAGCGAGGTTTTTGACAACACAACGAATTGCACAAACAATGCATCAGTGATGATTTCTCTAGGGAGATCGCTCGGTGTTGGGACAATAATAAAATCAATACACTGTGTAGAATGGCAAGCACTGAATGAAGGAGTCTTCTTTATTGTGAATAATCGGTAGTCGAATGTTTATACTGCTATACATGAAATGAGTTTCCTAAGCATTTTATTTTTGACAAATTTATTCTATACCAAGCATGTATTCTAAACTTGGTGGTATACCGCAAGCAAGAAATATCCAATTTCACTATAAAACATGGTCTAATTTAGAATATATTCAATATTGAAATATGTACTCGGAATGGTTGTATTGATTTTCTAAATTCTCGATTTTAGTAATAATTTGGAATAGTTCATTACATAACTTATCCTTTTGAGCAATTGCTACCAACTAGATAAAGTTAGCCCCAGAAACATTTCCAGATGAGCCACAAACATATTAAAATTTGTTGATAAAGGTAATGATAAATTAGGTCAATTTGGTGGTAGTAGCAATAAATGACGATGCTTTTTTTGCTACTGAGTGGTAATTTAAATTCTAATTATTGATGTAAAAGTGTCTATTTTTGCAGAAAGTCTCTTGTAGTTTTTCCCTAACACGAAAATGTTGATGGGCCCCTGAATTTTTAGGCAATGAAAATGGGCCACGAAAAAAAAGTTGAGAACTACTGGTAGTCTGGTACAGATGTCTAGACACTGGCTAAACTGCATCATTTGCATCCATATTATTTTCTCCTAAAATCACTTAATTTAATAAAGTGAAAGTCAAATACTCAAACAATCTACCTTTTGTTTATCTAAAATTTTCATTGCATAGTAGTTTTCGGTTTTCTTGTGTTTGACAAGCATAACTCTCCCAAATGATCCTGTGCCGAGGGTTTTCAGTCTTTCGAAATCTTCTAGTGCTGAATTGTTCTAAAATAAGATTGAATAATATTGTAATTTCAATATCTTTGAACATTTTATGTGCCATGTCTATTTTTATTAGGCCAGAGATGGACAAAATAAAGTAATCTACCATTCTGTATACATTCTGAATGATGTTTTCAACAATTCTATAATATATTTTTATGAATTTACAATCAATTTATTCAAATTTCTCTGTTGAATATTCCATATTCGAAAGCATCATCTCAGAATTCAGTCACAAAATGGATGAAGTCTATTTTTTGAGCATCAGATGTTAACATTGAATACAATCAATTTCAAATAAATCCGAATATTCAATTCATTATGAGCATCCCTGATTTATACAATACAATATAAAAATTTGGGCATAGGACATGATGGGCTTTCAGCTAGCAATAATTTTCGAGCATTTTGACAATACTTTGCAGTGTTCTCATCTGATACGTCATGAGATTAGCAGACTAGTATACTGCTTAAAATATATAGTTATAACTGAAGGAATCCAGCACTCGCGAAGGATAATATTGTTAGATTAAGTAATTAACAACCAAATGTTATTATTTGCTATAAATAATTAACAGCATCACAACCATAAGATGAATTGATGTAAATTACTCTATTAGAAAAGAAAATACAATGCTCCATCCAATACATTTCATTAGGCAGATGGTATGCACAGCTCTGTATTCCAGCTATAATAAACCCGGAATATCTATGTATAGATATATAAGTAATATTGAAATTAGATATCTTATTTCGAGTGCTAAACTAACATAATGTTAGGATTTTGAATAAACATTGGGTTTCGTATTAGATTAGACCTTTCTATTTATACTTTGAAAGGGATACCTCAGAATTTTTTCAATTCGCCTTTCACTCTGAATGAGGCACTTAACAAGCAGACACTTCTAGGTAAGGAGAAATTACATTTTGAAAGTTCTAGAATCTTTCCGGTTTAGCATTATCTACCAGATTGGAATGGGATTCGATACAAAGATTTTAAAACTGTGATGCTAACATGGTTGAATGGTGCACAATGTGGATCACATTTTAAAGAAGAACAGAGAAAACAAGGATTCAATCATGTGACAGACACACCCCTTAAAGGCACCCACCTCCAGGCAAGCTAGGCATGGGCATAGGTTTTCAGCTATTAATTTTCCCAAAAGGAGTATGAGAAATATTCTCCCATTTTCAAAGTAAAGGCAAACAACAATCAACATTTAGAATATGACACGAATTTTTACCAAAATTACAAATTTACAATCATTGAGAAAAAGTTCATGGAAATACTTTTCTCAAAATATATTGTCGTAAAACAGTAAAACAAATATTTTATGTTCTATTGGTCATATTCTGAAATATCAAAAAACCCAGCTAAATATAAATCAAAGTGTAAATGGTTGGATCACCTCATTTTTCCTCATAAAAAAGTGCTGTAAATTTAATTCAAACTGCAATGTAATTTTCAAAAGTATTGTTCCTGACTAGAATTATACATAAATTCCCAGAAATCCTAATAATTAATCACGCTCCAAAAATTCTTTAGATCTATAAATACCAGCAAGATAGACAGTACAGCAGACATTAACAAGCAAAATGTACACATACTTTGTGTATATTAAAGTCTGGAGAGCCAAAATAGCTTTTCCATGTTAGTTTAATGGTTGTAAATTTATAGAGAAAGAGCATTTGTCCGGAATTAGGGTTCAACGGGCTGACTCTAAGAACCAGTATTGGCTTGACGACACCTGAAGACTTCTGAGAAACTGATGTTGTTCTTATTAATATAATTCTAGGGAATTGAAAGAATTGGGTGTGGCAGGGAGGTGTTCTTAGACCGTTATTGTTTTTTTATGACATGTTATTAGAATCAGGTTTCTTAAACTGGGTTCACAGAGCGATTCTGAGAACCAAAAGCAAAGGTCTTCACTGGGCGCGATTTGCTATAACTACTGGTACTGTACATCAATTTAAAAAAACTCCTTTTGAATATTTATCTAAACCAAGATTTCTCAATCTTGGGAAAAGGGTTTGGTCCTCTGAGAGCCACATGCAATATCCTTAGTACAATTTGTGATGATCATTGAGTTAAATTAACTGTGATTGATCTGATTATTATTTAGACAGCAATGCATCTGATTTTTTATATCCATTTTTTGTCTTTTATCATTAAACAGTGTCAAATAAAAGAACTGATAGAAACCTATAAAACATCATTATTTTTTATTGAAGAGCACAGAGGCAACATTTTGTGGATAAATTGGTAGGGGAAGTGGGCACATCCATTGGTCATGAAATATTATATTTATTTACTAAGATGTTTCGATTAAGGTGTAAGATTCAACTATTTTGCAGTCGATCCATGACCACAAACCTCACCTAGAGTATAATAAACTGGATAGGCAATGCTGAACCTAAGAAGTTCAGGTCCTCCCAAAATATCATTGTTTCCTATCTAACTGTGGCTGTTTGTACGGAGGGTGCATAGCCTTATCCAGAGTAGAAGGCGAATAAGGAAGTCTTGAAGACATTCTCTAACTCATGATACCTAAAATGATAGCTTTGAGCCTAACACAATATTTCGGAGCTGTGATAACAAATAACATATTACAAGATATGATTCAATCAATAAAACACAATATTGATAAATCAATTGATTGCAGAAACTAATCAAGGACCCTACCTGAACTGGAGTCTCCCATTTCTTTAGAAAATCTTCCTTCGCCTCCGTTAGAAATGCTTTCACTAAAAAAAGATAAAAAAAAGTGTTAATTTTTTTTAAAAATATTGTCCGATTAAGATTTCATCAAATGTCCTAAATAAAACACAAAATTTCTCAATTTCAAACATAACACAATGATTTTCATTCTTCACTCAATCAACAGTACACACAAATAAGTTAAACTACCGGTAAATAAAAGCCAACAAAATTTTCTATTTACATAAGAATTTACAACTAAATAGGTATGTCCAAGTCTTTCAAGTTCAAAAAATATTTAAAACAAGATACCCAAATTCTCATTTTATGCAAAAAATTTCAACATTGACATCATGTTTTTATATCAAATTTTATAAAAAAAAATGTTTTGTAAATGTTAAAAAATAAGTTAAGATTGAAAAAAATCACAATAAATTAAAAGTAAGCACATTTGGTTAGTATTATAAGGGTAATAATTATGGTTGCTAATGAAGTACCGTACACCACCAAAACATCAAGAGATGATATTTCCATATGTGACAGAAAATTCATCTCTTTCTTAATGATTTTGGTGAAAGATTTAACTTTGTAACAATTTAAATTAGTCTGATGGACAAAAATAACACACAACGAAATAGTCATGTGACTATCTGCATTCTATAAATAGACTTTTTTATGTTTAGCTTCAAATAAATCTCAGAACATGTTCAATGAGACTATGCAGACATACGATAACAGCAGCTCTATGTTGATTATACATTGCCACTAATGTGTTGCAGTGCATGAATACTTTATAAGATGTGCGCTATTTGCAGACTTGATGTGAACTCCCTACAAGTTCATGTCATGTATTGAAGCGGTAAATAAACTACAGGTCTCTCAACTGAAACGGGTCTTGTATTAGAAATAAGGAAGATATATTGTTCCATATTTAGTTTATTGTTGATTTTTAGGGCGGCAACACGAAATTATTTCCTACTAACTATAACTTCATTGCGAAGAAAACACTACGGTTCATTTAAATATTCCAAATTACATTATTCAGTACGCAATACAAGTTTTTAAGTTTATTATATTCTTGGGTGAGTACAGTGGACACAGAGCTATGAAAAATTGGACCAGTCAACAATTTTATTCTTTTCTCCTAACTGTATATTTTATTTAATGTCCTGGGATCAGATGGTGATTTCTTAAAATGACAATGACACATGAAATTTTGATTTTTTTCTCATAAATCGAATATATACAGTGCTTAGTTTTATCATTTTCGTGTTATTTTCTTGACAGTTGCCCGTGTCTGGCACTGATTCCATTTTTTTCACATTTTTAAATGACATATCCTGCGCTACTTGCCAGAATGAATAGGAGCTATCACATTACAACCTCAAATATAATTTCATTTTACCAGCAATAGCTTTTCATGTACACACACATAGTGCAAACAAATAGGTTTCTGCAACACTAGATTCAACCAGGAAGCTTTCTATTTTTAGCTGATTGTTGCCATTTTTAGCGACTCGCATGAGTGACAGACATTCAAATCATTGTTTGTATATTCGGACACACAATCATGCAATGACTTGCCATCCATTAACTTCGAAAATATTTTTAAAAATAGATCAGGATCAGCAGTTTCTATACCCGGAACATGATTAAACAAATCTGAATTTTGATTCACATTAAAAATGTCAGTTCCGGGACATCTAAGTGACACTTATATTTAGCATTGGTAATATAACCTGACATATTTACCCAAGTTATAATAATCTGTCAGAGTACATGAAATACGACTCTTGATATAGTTTGCAATCCGGCACTGAAATTGTTTTAATTTTGTGTTTAAATGATGAATATTTGCATCTTTCGTTCTGAACAAAGCTCTATATAGGTAGCCACTACCAGGCGATGAGCTATACCAGGGTGGTCTAAACCCAGGCCCACGGGCCACAAGAGGCCCGCCGCTTCATATCTGGGGCCCGTGTGGCATTTGTGGGAGGGTAAACAAAAAATCACATTTGATGTTGTTTTGTCATGAAAATAACCAGAAAAATATTTTAACATATTGTCACATCACTATTGTCGCTGAATTGACTAGTGTTATGGCTAGCTGAGGCAACTAGCGAAGTTGAATGATGTGGTTGGCTTGTCTAAATTGGTACCTGGCTTTCTATCTTTTTGGTCGGGAATATATGCTAACAGAATAGGGTTCATAGAAAACTAAAAATCGAATGAGGAATCTATTATAGCTTTGGTTGACTATGCCTGATAACCAGTGTTCACTATTGCGAAAAAACACTTTCGCAACTTTTTTAGGGACTGCGAAATATGAAGAGAAATAGCACTTTTTTCCGATTTTGAATGGAATAAAAATTCAAAGTTAACAAATATTTTCGAGTATTAAGTTGACAAATACGTAACATACTGGTACTTTTGTAACTCAATTCTGCATATCATAACGATATTTACCGGAATTCTAACCTATGAGATGCAGACATAGGAGATAAAGCTTTTGCATTAACGGCAAAATTCTTGTTTATAATATGATTATTATACAAGCACACGATTCCGCTTCTCCGCAAAAAACGCTCCCGGGGCGTTTCTTTGAACGAGAGTGGTCATGTGACTATCAATGATATCGATGAATTCAAAATGACTATAAAAGTGTTAGTAACGTGTTATAGTCACTTTGGATGAATTGTGACCAAACTGCACGATTTTCAAATCAGACGAAACTTTTAGCAGCATGTCACAGATTTGCAAAATCAACAAATTCACAAAATACCATTAATGCCATTTTATTGTAATCACAATGTTGAAAGGACGTGGCATTTTCCGGATTTTTGCGATATTTACACAACTATTTCTCATTGATATGCGAGGAGGGGTGGGCAAAATTCAATATTTTTTTAAATCGAATATTTTTAAGGAGTACCGAATAAACGTGGTGGAAACATTAAAAAATCGGCAACAAAGCCTTTTTACTGGTTAATTCCGTTGTAATCGCTAATTGTTCTTGTCACCGATCGTTTTGGCGGCGATATCCAGGTTTTGGGTAATCTATATTCCCGCCCTCTCTTTTTTACAAATATGAATTCTTGTGGGTCGGCGGACATCGAAGTTTTATATTTCGGGTTTACCCGTTCGTTCACATCGGCAACAGCTGTTGAAGACATTGAGGACTCAAATTAACATTTGCGCTGGCTTTAATATTACCTATCAAGATTTGTAAATTTACCGTCCCAATTTTATGCGAATGGTAATATTATTGTCCATACCGTGATGCAGATATTTATTAAGACGATAATTAACTTTCTCATGTATTTCTATGGTGATAAACTTCGCAAATCTGAAATTGTGCCAATCCTGAATGTTGATTTGAAATAGTGATTGAATAATTCGGCAATAAAGGCATTTCTGCGTGGTCATAAGACGAGATGACGTTAATGAACAGCACTTCTTTTACAGGATATTTCACGTATGCGACTTATGCTAAAAAGATTGGGCTCGAGTGCTTTTTTTTCGAGTGCTCGAGTGCCTAATAGAGGTCAGGCGCTAATTGTAACTAATTCCCTCAAGTTTCAACGTGTTTTCAACAAAACAATACCCCGGCGATAATTATAGCTAAAATGTTACCGAGCAATTCACAATTTTATTTATGGAATTTGCAAATTCACCAGTTTCTTGACGATTTTGATATTGTCACGCCCTAATTATTAGTGCAAAAAATACTCCCCTTCTTCCGCGGCGGTTTGACGGGTTCTTTGTTCCATTCTTCAGAAAGTTCTGACACGGGGGATATAGAATACTGAATCCGGAGGGTTGAATCCCTGTCCACTTACTGGTGATTTTCCGTTTTGAAATGCGTGAAACATTCTCTATTTTAAATTAAATGACGTTTCGCGGGCTAGAGTTCTCCCCGAAAATGATGTGTTCCAGACGTTAGTTAGACGATAGATAAAACATTAATTAATAATTTTCGTGACGCCCCGTTTTCGAAAATACAAAGTTATATCTCAAAAAATGCGTTATAATACATTTGGAATGAAACATTATTTACGGTAATTCAGATCACATTTTACTCTCATGACACCCGGTATCCGAAAATACAGTTGTATCTCGAAAAATGTGTTTTGTTACATTTAAAATAAAACATTTTTGCAATTAATTTAGATCAAATTTTACCTTTCACGGCAACCCGTTTCCGAAAATACAAAGTTATATCACAAAAAATGCGTTTTGTTACATTTATTTTGCATTCCCAATAAAATACATATTTTCCCTAATTAAGGTCGTCGATGAATCTGTTCCTGTCGTTCAAGCTCGACACACGTTTGGACGAGTGTGGGGCGGTTTTTTGTCGACGATAAATTAAAAAGTTGCCACACGTTATTTGTATAACCATAATAACTGAAAATTAAGATTTTATAATAGAAGTGAATTTGTCTCAAGATGGTATTTTACGATTCCTGCCCACAGAAAATAAACACGCTGACAGGCTTGGTTATAATTGATATTCGTTTAATTTATTTTACACTATTAATAAACGCGCCACACCAATTGCGACCATATAAATTGCAGTCGCATCGGTATGGACTGTATGTTTTTGGCGCTCTCAATTAATAATAATTTTCAACAAAACAATACCCCGACGGTCATTAAAGCTGAATTCGTTACCGATAATTCGCAATTTTATTTACGGAATTTGCAATTTCAAGATCTCACTTGACGATTTTGATGATGTCATGCCCTAATTATTACTGCTTAAATGCCTCAAAATACAACAAATGTAATCATTTTCGACGATAACAGGCGCAACAATTCGTAAACGAGCCGTTATAACGAAATTCGCGATTGATTTTACCTCTCTCTTGTTTACAATTTTAACATCCCGCCGGCCATGTATGGTCGAATAAAATGTTCACATATTCGAAACATGACTTGGCCAAGGATGGAAGGGATCACTAAAGAGCTAATAGAAAGTACATACGCGAGGGTATGATATTAATATGAGAATATTTGTGAGCATATCACAGGACGGAAATATTTT